CCATTGATGTGATTGCAGACTCCCACTGACTGCAGTGGGAATTGGATTAAATCTCTAAAACAACAATTACATGCCTAATTGCTTTTTACTGCTCACTTAAAAATGCATTCTTTGAAACACTACCAATATTTGTAAGGGCTGAAGGCTTAATGTGCCAAACTATTTAGGTTATTTGGAGACCTATTTTCTACCAGTGCCTGGGGAATTAAATAAATGCTATAAAACAGTGTTATTTACATTATGCATTTATAATAGAAGTGTTTATATTGCATCATTATTCTTCATATTGGGTTTCTTCTAAATGCCAAGACTTTGTTGTTTTGAAGTCACTGGAAGATCTGCCCCTGACTTCATCCAAACTGAAACTGGGAGCTAATGTGTGGAAAAGAGGATGCAGTTTTCAGATCATGCTGAAAGACAAATTTTGTGAAACACACTTCCTATAACTCTATGCTGACTGTCTCTTCTGGCACCACAGGACATCCTTGCCCTATGCATTCCTCAGTGGACAGGCATTTTGTGTGTCCAGAGCATCAAAAGGCCATGTGTTAGTTTGGCAGTGGCTGTAAACAGTAATTGAAGTGACTGTGCTGTTTGGAGAGTGGCTCAGAGAACTTCCTCTTCTGCAAGTGGCAGCCTGCACCAGCTCAGCTCTCCCTGTCACAATCCTAATTCTAAAATATGAACCCCATACAATAATGGGTGTGAGAAGGTTATGCAGAAATTAATTAATCACCAGAGATCTTATACTTGACCTCTGAGCTTCTGAAAAAAAGTAGTCATTGAAGTAAACAGAACAATCCTCTTCCTATAAAATCTACTTGAAAGAAACAATACAATTAAAACAACCCTGAATCTCACAAGCATGGCCTAGAGGAAGATTATAAAATCTGAATTTGGCTGCATGTCCAATGACTTTTATTACAGAAGTGTTAGCTTCCTTCATCAGCAGCCTCCCCTCTGAATGGGCAAACCCCATCTCTGCCACAGAGCTCTTCTGACTGTAATCGACCAAGTTCAGGCATCTTTCTAAACAGAGAGAGCAGGAATGCTCTGCATAGGCCTGGGAATATTGCTGGGGAGTGCTGCTAGGCACCATAAGGAGGCAAGTCAGATTTGGGAAATGCATTGAAATGGTTACAAAATTTTCTCTTTAATTTGACAGAGGATTGGCAAAGGACATGCTGAAAGCAAATAGCCTGAAATGCCATGAATCTACCTACAAATCAGCTGATCGGTAAATAAAAATGAGCATGTCACAAATTAAGGTGGAGAGTACAAACATACTCTTAATTTCAGCAGTATTTCAATGTATGATGATTGCAGATCAAGGGAGTGAGATTTTTCAAGGAATTAAAAGTGTGTACCTCAATTTTCTACAATATATTGATATGCTCAAGACTCAGATTTAAAATAATTTCAACATCATATCTTGATATGCTACAGTAATAAAAAAATTTATGCTAGTTTCTGGTGGACAATGCTGTTTCTCTAGAGCTAATAAAAAATTACTCTTCTGCTAATTCAGGAAAGTTAAATAACTTGGAAGCAACCTATTAAAATATCTCTGGCATATAAGAACTTTGTTTTTGCAGGACTCTTGGTTTTTCTTTTTCTTGGTAAGTTTTTGGGGTTTTTTGAAGGTTTTGAGTAAATGGCTTCCAGCTCCTACTTTCTTTGTTTGCAGCTCCACATTTCACCCTGTGACTACAGGAACAATTTTTCCCTAAATGCTTTAAATGTTTTTACAGTTTACATTCTCATGGTCAAATTCATCTGCATAGCAAAATTTTCCTTGCCAGTATTGTTTGATTAGTAAGATGTTACTATGATGCTAGAGGCAAACATTTCCAGTACAATTAAGAACACTCTGAAACTAGGGCAAAGCTAAAGATTGCTGAACACAGCAAAGTGAAAGGACATTAATGTGGGACATAACAATATTGAACTTTATCATATATTGTAATGGCAGTGAATCAAGCAAACACTTTTGGTCTAATGGAAAATGGTTGTGCAAGAGGACAGACATGACAAAAGAAAAGGTCAGTTGTGTCCATATGCCTGGTTAGTAAAAGCAAACAATCCTCCTTCTCAATTCCATTTTCTTAGTGATGCTGTCCCTGTTGCTGGATCTGAAGAGCATTTGACTGCTGCAGCACTGTGGTCAATCAGTGCAATGCAAAGGGAAGGGCTATCCTTGACCAGATCATCTAAATACAAACATGAACATAACATTTCTACAAAATAAAACCAACAAAGACCCATGTTCCACAAGCTGAGACATACTAGCATTACTACTACTACCTAAGGTCCCCCCAGGAATTTTTCACTATAAGGAATGATGATTTTAGAGCCCATTACCCAGCTTTCAGTGAGCACAGGTCCATTTCCATGGCAACATGAGATGTCTGAAAAGTTGTTTTACAGAAGGCTGTAATGTTTGGCTCCTGTGCAGCGCATGGCTGATGACAATCCACACAGCTGTAGGGATTAGTCTCCACTGCAGGATTTTAAGTAAATGAAATAGAAAAAGAAATATCCTATTAATTGACTGGAGGTGTGTGTTATTGTACAATTTAGCTTTTTAAAGATTTAATAAAAGAAGTCTTAGTATGAGTGTTTATTGTCTAGAAAGTTCCAATACCTGCACTTTAGTTATAGCCCAAGCCTTTGCAGGAAAAGCTTGACCTGATTCTTCTTTCTTTCTTTCTTTGGTTTGTCTCTTTGTTTGCTTAAAGTAAGAGCTTTTTCTGTTTCTGTGAACAAGTCAGTTCTGACTTGTTCACAGCTTTTGGCAGGGGATGACAGCCCATGTTACACTGTGCATACTGAGTGCAAGGGGTAGCTGTTTGGCCTGGCTTATAACCTGGAATGTGGTGACTGACAGTAGATTGAATAGTCTGTGGATGTGATGGGGAAAATGGTCTCAGGAAGAATTTGTGCAATTTAAGAAAGTTTCTATGAGAAAAATACTCAAACCTCTGGAAGATTCCCAAGTGTTCAACTGATGGAAAAGCCAGTACAGCCTTTTGAAAGGTACATGCCCTGCACACACTCTTTGCAGGCTGAACAGCAGCTAGATGTATCTGTGGCCCTTGGAGCCATTCCAGATGCAGGGGAATGCCCTGCGTTTCTTGGAAGCCAAACAGCTGCCCTAGCTGACTGCCCTGCATATTAACACAAGAGGAAACCTGCCATGCTCTATCTTAACACGCCAAGCTGCAAAATGTGGTGGCTCGGTGGAGCTGAACATTCCCTTCAGCCACATCTCCCATGAGAACATTTGTCCATGGCAGGGGCCAGGTGGTCGCCTGGGGGCTGTGGCTGCAGCATTCTGCATGGTGGCCATGAGCCCTGCTGGCATTGCTCTTTGCCAAAACAGCACCCTCCCCTTCCCCAGCTGCTGTGGAGAGCGTGATTGATGTGCCGAGCGTGCAACAAGCAATCCATGGGTTAGGCAGCTTTATTCTCCTAACAGGATTTGCTGCTTGCACAAGTTCCCAAAACACAGCACAGCCTGCTTCTACTTTGAGCATATTGAATTGTAAGGGACTAACTAGACACGTACATGGGAGCGTGGCATAATACTGTGCAACATATGGCTGTTCTGGTCTGCCATGCCCAAATTCTGTCTAGCATAAATAGGCTCATTTCCCACTGACATCAAGAGTTGCTGTCTTAGATTATTCTGTACTGAAATCTAAAAGCGGATCTTGATCATCTCCCACATTATCAAACAGAAACTAGTTGTCCAAAGCAAGGCAAAATTCTCATAACAGTTTTAGCATATGCCACCACTCTTTCTCTGACAAGTGATTTACTTCTCATTGCACTGACTGCCCTCTGACTCAGCAGATTACTAGCAGGACAATGTGGAGAATGGGCCTCTTCCAAATGCACACTAGCAAGAAATAACTCAGTTTTAGCTTGCACCTTGGTTGAAATGGTGCCAGAGCTGCCCCACACCCTAACCAGCTCCATTCCAGGTTTGAGAGAAGAAAAGTGATGCATAAGGGAGGCAGAAACTTGACTCCTGATTCACTCCCAGGCCCCCTGCTCTCCAAGAGCAGCCATGGCAGGATGCAGCTCATGATAGACATCCACCATTCCAGCAGACAGCTGTGTGTGTTGCCGCTGACCCACAAGCACATTTTAGGGTATACAAGGCCATGATGACTCCCTTTATGTGATCAGCAGCAGATTGGTGTTCTGCTTCCAGGTAAGAGACCGTCCTAGCTCCTCCTGCAGGGTGGTCTCCCCAGGATGTGGGGGCTGGGGGACACAGCAGTGGCTGGGCCCCAGGATGTTCTGCCACACAGCCCAGCTGTAGCACAGAGCCTTGCGAGCTCCGCTGTGCCATCACACTGCAGCACCACATGTAAACCCTTGCTTTTTCATGGCAAAAGGAAGTTTCTCCAGGACATACTCGGACATTCTTATTGTTTTTCCTGCAGCTTTTCTGGTAGAGTAAGAGAGAAGCCATATCAGCTGTCAGTGAGATGACCTTTGGACTGATATTTTTCAAGTGGTCTGCTGTGTTGAATCCCTAAGTGTACTAATGGACCTAATGAATGAAACCTCTTGGAGGAAGCAGAGAACATCACAGTGAGAGGGGCATTTAAATCTATTCAAGTGCTTGGGAATATACTGCCAGGAATATACTGCCAGTTCTGTCTCAGAGTTGGTGCTGGTTCTACTCACCCTCTACCTGTTTTAATCTCCAAGAGCAGTTGCATTTGCCTTGTTTGGCAAAACCAGACTCACCTCACCCATGCTTGTGGAGAGCAGCAAGAATACAGCTCTACACCACCTGAGCCACATCTTCATTCTTCTGCTGGGCAGGAAGGGTTTCCTGCCCTCATACCCTTTCCTTCCAGGATGTTCTGTGTAGATTCATTGCATTGCACCCCATCTCACCCACCTACAAGGTGCTGGTAAAGGAGGAGGATACTCCAGGGTTCACCACTCCCAGTCCTGCTTCTGAGAAGATAATCCTTAACAACTCTGCCTTTGCTTCTTCCACAGGATTTGCTTTGGTAGTCATGAACCTCTGCTGATCTCCCGTCTCAGCTTTCCACCAGCAGCACATTCAGCCTGAAGAAGAGAGGCTCATTAACTATGTTATTTCTTTATGCCAAAAAAATTGCAAATAAACAGGCAAACCTCTTATTTCCTAATGTACCCTGATGTGCCTAATGTACCCTATGGTTATTAACCGGATGTCTGCAGCACGTTCAGCCCTGGAGAGGAGAGGGTCCTGAAGTATCTTATTTCTTTATGCCAAAAAAAATGCAAGTAAACAGGCAAACCTCTAATGTACCCTAATGTGCCTAATGTACCCTATGGTTATTAACTGGATGTCTTCTGCTTTTAGTATCTGTTTTAAGCTGTTTTCTACAATTGTTTGGTCTGAAATGGGAGTGTGTAGGGCACAGCTTGGTTCATAGTTCTAAGATGATTTTTAATTACTGAGTGGCCTAGCACTCGGATGCTCAGAGCTATCTTTACTAATAAAGCAGGTTATTTCTGTATATCTCCTGCTGTAAGTGCCTGGTATATAAAATCTTTTATTTTATTTTTATTTTCTTAAACTGGGCTAAGAAATAAGCAGGACCAAGCTCCTGCAAGACTTGTGCTTTGGCTAAAACACCAGCAGCTATCAAGATTCTGTGACCAACCTGCATTCTGGTGCTGGTCAAAGTAACTGAGTGGAAGGCCATGTGGGATTTGTTATGCTGTGGTTGCCATAGAATTATTTAAAAGGTATTTCACTGGAGGACAGCAAACTTCAAAAAACAACAGTAACATGAGTCTTTCACATTTTTCTTCAGTTACCCTTGCTCCTGTTTGTAAGTGCAAATATTTATATATGAGCCAGGATAGTTTATCCCTCCTGCCGCCTTAACAGCAACATAATATTACTTAGCAGATCTTGAGTTCCACTCACATAGAGACCTCAGCCCATTTCAGGAAAGAGTTTAGCTGTTAACTCCTTCAAGAAGTCCAGGGATTGTAAGATTATTACCTGCAGATAATGCTGCTCAGGAGCAGCAGTAGAACCAGTAGTGGGATCTGGGAGCTGTGGTTGTGAGGTTTTGTGCTGTGGCTGCCAGCCTGCCTTACTCCCACTTCATCCTGCAAAACTAGGAGGGTGAAAAATTTAAAACCCCAATTCAGCATCTGCAATAGCACAGGAGGATCCCAGAACACAGTACTGGATGAAACCTAAGGTTGTTGTGTTTAAGATGCACCTAACCACACCTGAGGCGTTAACACGCAATCAACACGCACACTCATCTCTTTTTGAAACTCTCATTAGTGGTGCTTATCCTCTTTAATGAGAAAGGTCTAGTGTCCAGCTCAATTATTTCAGACTTTCCTCGGTGGTCATATTTTCTACAACTGCCAGGTTTGTTGCTGTCCAGAACATTCAGCCCAGTGTCCTGGATGTGACCTGCCACTGTCAAGCTCCCATGCTGCTGGTGCAATCATCCCACCAGCAGATCTCAGAATAAATCTTGGGTTTTTTCCCTACTTGTAATGTCACAGCACTAATGGCTTATATCCAGTTTGTGACCCAGTATGTTTCAACGATTTTTTTTGGGGATAGCCCTTTCTATTTTTGCATCTGATCATTTCTCTGGGTTTTGTTTGTTTGTTCATTCATTTGGGTGTTTTCTTTCCTTTTTGCTTTATTTTCTTGGTGAACTAAATGCAACTACAGTCAAATTTCTCCAGGGAAAGCCAAATTCAACAGCCTGCAGTGCTTGGAAGCTGTGGCCATAATCTCATACAGGAGGTTCCTTTCTTGAGGAGCACGCAAGAGAAACTCATAGCTAGTTCAAGGCTTGTGTGCATCACAGAGCACTTCAGATAAGGTTTATTATGAGTTTTGTGCCATGTCAAATGCAATTTAATAGCCTGTGTACAGATGTTGCTGCTTGATGCATCCTCCACTTCTCCCACGTGTAGACAAAGCATGTGGCAGATAAACACCAACCTTCTCCAAGTCTGCTGCAATTCATTCCTTTCACCTTTGACTTGAAACTGCTGCTCCATTAGGCAACATTTTCACCCCCGTGCTTAGCAATCTCAAGCCTTGCTCACCATCCAGACTTCACCTCTTCCCCACGACTGACAGACAGTGCTGTGCACCATCCCTTGCTACTGTAAAGAATTAGCTGGGAGGCAGCTCTGCAGGCTTTGCAGCAAAGGCAAATTAAAATCAGATGCACAGACACTAAGGGGGTTCTCAAAGGATTGCTCAGTGAAATGGGGAAAGCAATGCCATGACTCTGAAAGGAGCTGGTAGACATTTAGACTCCAATAAGGAAGGGACTAAAAGACCATCAGCAATCAGAGGAAAGGACCATTGAGCAAACATTGGTGGATTCATTTTCTCCTGTTTTAGCTTCAGATTCCTGCTCACTGCATTCAGACTTTGAAGTGCCACATTAATTGTACCAAAGAATTTTGACTGATGGCAAAACTCACACAGACTCTTAGCTCAAAACATCCAGCAGCAGCTCCAAAGCCAACATTTTTAACTAGCAGTGTCCTCCAGATTTCGCTGCAAGCCCTCTGCAGGAACTCTCAGTAGCTACTGTTTATTTTCCAAGGACACATTCATTGTAGGCATACACTGTACCTCTCAAGAACTGTGAGAATATAAAATTAGATAAGACCATCCTGATAAGATATAGCTTTATATAGGTTACAGTTTTCTAATTAGAAACCATCCCTTTTATTTTTACTTTCCCTTCAACAACATCATGAAAACCTCCCTGTTCCCAGTCATTAGCTACTATGCTTTAAATATATCCAATGTTTTTAAATACAGAACTAAACTCGGTTTAGGCAGGCCCCTTAGCCCATGCATCCCTCTAAAGCTCTGTCTCCGTGAGCTGGACCATGACTCAAGGCAGCAGCAGAGCAGAGCACCGGGCTGGATGTGCCTGTTTGGAGCGGTGCCTGTCCTTCGTGCCCCTTTCACTTCCACCTGCTTGAGACAGGCACGTGCTGTGGCTGTGACTTAGCCCTGTCACAGCTTACATGGCCTCTGCTGACAGGGGCAGAGCTGAGGGGCAGCAGAAGAACCCTTGGCACTCACACTGTGCCCAAACCCCTCCTCAGCCCGGGGCAGGAGGGGCACAGCCAGGCTCCCGCTCTGGGCGAAGGGCGCAGCTGGAGGAGGAGAGGTGCCTGCTGGCCAGCCGGACGTCAGAGCCATGGTAGCCATGGCTGGGGGGACAAAGGCAGCCCGAACCTGCAGCTGCCTGCCCTCACCAAGAGCTTAATCATTTTTAAATTCGGAGAATGCATGCCATGACCTGCAATTTTTCATCTTTTGTGTTGTGAGCTACAGCTCTGTGCACTGTGCCAAATCACACGGTTCCAGACCGGTTTGGTGGTTGGAGCCTTATCAACAACCCCATCTTTACCCTCCTCTGCCTGCCCTCTCCCCAAAGCACCCGTCGCCCCCTGCCCAGTCCCTGCTGAGGGGCTTCCAAGGTCTGGGCAGGATCAGAGCTCTGTGCAAAGTCCCCAGGGTGGGGAGGGAGCCCTTGGGGTGGCACATGGCCAGCAGGCACCACACGGCCACGCCACCAAGGTGCTGGGCTGTCCTGGCAGACTCCAGGCAATGGGGAGGAGGGACCAGGAGTGCCATGTACCTTGCAGGGAACGTGCCGTGCCACCTCCCGGAGTGGCTCCTGCTGGTTGCCCCATGGCAGCACCAAGGGTGCACTGTCAGGAAAGAAAACAGCCACACCAAAGCACACCTTACCTGACAGGTTGCAGGCTGCAGTTGTTGTCTCCAGGAAGAGCCTGGGCCCCAGCACAACTGCTTCCATTTCTGGTTTTAGCCCTTAAGCTTGCATTTCTCCAATGTGCTTTTTAGACATCCATAGTTGTGAGTGGGAGACGCCCAAGAAACGCTGGGAAATCTGCCAGTGCTGCCGCTGTGTCTTTCAGCTCTCAGGGAATGAGAGCCACAGGGCACCACTCATCTCTGTGACTACTTCTTGGGGCAGACCAAGAGCAGCTGGTGGCCATTACATCATCACCCCGTCCCTCCTGGGCTATGACTGGAAGAGCTGTGCTCTCCTGCGATTTTCCAGGTGGGCTGAAGGACCAGCAGGTGCTGAGCCCATGGGGACAGGGGTGTAAGAGCAGCCGGGACAGGGTGCCCAGGCCTCCTGCAGACATGCAGCTTGTCTGTGTGCAGCACCACGAAGCTGCAGTGTTGCAGCATTCTTTGGTTGTTTCCATGTGGCTGGTCAGGACTGTGAGGTTTCTGAAGGAAACTGCAGTCCATTAGGCAATGCTTATTAATGGGACACCTGTCCTCAAGGAGTCTTCAGATCCATTCAATTAGCATAAACAAGGTTAATTTGTCACTCCAATTATCATTCATATTTAAATACGCTATTCACTACAGAATTGTAATTTTACATTTCTAAGTGATACACAGGACTTGGTTTAGGGTATCTCCTGCTTCATGAGCTATGCTTATAATTAGACTTTTGATTTGTCATGAAGTCATGAGGGTTACCCAGAAGATGAAACATGGGTTTGGCCCAAGTGATCCTTTTTTATCCTATGTGAACTCCCAGAGTCAGGAAGCAACCAAACAGAGCACTGTAGGGAGATATAACATAGGGTTATATGTTTGTACATGGATTATAAACAATAACGCAACATTATTTAAACCAGGAATAAGCAAATAATTGTACCTAAAATAATAGATTAGTACAACATCCCTCCTATCAAAAGTAAAATTCTAAGTAGTAACATTTCTAAAATCAGACCCAAAGAAAACTTTATTGTAACAAAACTTGGCTTATCTTCAGTGGTATCAGGTTTTACTACTTTTTGAAGATGGCTAAATAGACCTTTGACAGCTGCTACTGTTGTGGTATTTGTGCTGCTGGGGCCATGGCATCTAACAGATGGAAAAGCAGATAATGCAATAACAACATTCATGAGTAATGTTTCAGAA